AAGGAACAGTGCTGAAATGAATCAATTTTCCTTTTTTCTTTTTCCAGTAAATGTTTATTTCCTGGAAATTGATTAATGGCTTAAAGAAAATAGAAAAGAGATTTGTCCTGTGGGCAAAATTTCATTAAATTGAATTATTTTTCCGCTGTGAATTTGAAGATGATATTTTCATTATTAAATTTGAACCAACGGGAGAATTTAATTTTGAAAATGGATATGTTTTTAATTGATTATAATATTGTTATTATTCTGACCAACGTTGATTAATGGCAATATTATGATGTTATTTATTATGAGATTTTGACATGGCTGCTAAAGAAATTGTTAATTCTCTAGTTATTTTGAACCAACGTGATATTTAATTGGAGAAAAAGAGATTTTGACATGATTATGATGTTGTTATTTTTTGACCAACGTTGTTAATAACAATATCGTAATTTTAATGATTTATGCATTAATTCTATTTCTGCCCAACGGTGATGTAGAATTAGTGTATAAGAACAGTTGTATATTTTAATTTTGACCAACGTTGGAATGAAGGCATGCAATTGTTGTTATTTTTATGTTAAGAAAAAGTTTGACCTGGCCTTCATCTTGGATGAGATGGACTGGGTAGTCACCTCACCATGTCCCACCGATCCTGTGGCACCGGTGAGGGAGACAAACGAGACTGATGCCACTTGGGCAACTAAAGAGAGAGATTTTGAATCCTAAAAGATGTCCTATGACCATAAGCATAGGAAGTGGGTCACTACCAACAAGAAATGTTTGGCTATGATAAAGAACATGATTGAACCTACAATTGTGGGCTCAATCCCAGAGTGTGACACGGTCACCGAGTACTTCGATAGAATAAAGAGACAGTTCACTAGCTCTTCAAAGACATATGCAACCAGCTGATAAAGCAGCTGGTGACAGAGAGTTACTCTGGAAATGGTAGATAAGAGAACTCACGATGCGTCGTCAAAATTATGGCACTGTCGTTGAGGCCATATTTCGAGTGGGAGAATAGAAAGACCAGTTAAGAATGATATTCTTCCTCCATTGGAGCTCTCAGATTTAGAACAATGCAGAGAATGCATAAAAAGGAAAGTATGTAAAAAAAAGATGCCAAACGAAGCGCAGGAATTTTACAGATTATTCACACAGACATATGTGGTCTATTTCCTGTAAAGAGTGTGGATGGTTATGATTCATTCATAACATTCATAGATAATTACTCCCATTATGGCTATATTTATCCAATCAAAGAAAGAACAGAAGCATTGGATAAATTTAAGATATTTAAGGCAGAAGTTGAAAACCAACTTAATTTAAAGATTAAGATAGTCAGGTCCGACCATGGGGGGGAGTACTACGGTCGGCATACCCTATATGGCCAAGTTCCTGGACCTTTTGCAAGGTTCTTACAGGAGAATGGCATAGGAGCACAGTATTCTACATCGGGCGAACCTCAGCAGAATGGAGTAACTGAAAGACGCAATCATACCCTGATGGATATGGTGCGCAGTATGATAAGTTACTCCACCTTACCGTTGAGCTTGTGGATGGAGGCGTTAAAAACCGCCATTCATATTCTCAATAGAGTACCAAGTAAGTCAGTGCCTAAAACACCATATGAGTTGTAGACAGGAAGAGTACCCTCACTAAACCACTTACGTGTGTGGGGGAGTCCTGCTGAGGCTAAAGTATTTAACCCAAACATTGGGAAGCTAGATCCCAAAAAATAGTAAGTTTCCATTTCATTGGCTACCCAGAAAAGTCAAAATGTTTTCGTTTCTACTGTCCAGACAGACATACAAAGTTTGTGGAAACGAGACATGCTGTCCTCCTAGAGAATGAAATGATGAGGGGGAGCATGGTAGCTCGAGAAATTGACCTTGAAGAGAAGAGGGTGTATACGCCCACTCCGATGATTCATGAGCCATTTTTCTCACTACCTGCTGTCGCTGCACCGACAGTGCAAGATATTGTGGTGCCAGCACCTATTGTTATTCCGCCTATGGCAACAATGAATGACGATCTTCAGGATCCTATAGAACCTATTGCCACACATGAGGGGGAGCAACAATAGCCTCAAACAGAAGATGTGCCAAATGTGGAGGCCCCTAGAAGGTCTCAAAGAGTTAGAAAATCAGCTATTCCTGCTGACTATGAAGTATACAACACTGAGGAATTTCAAATGGAGGATGATTCCACCTCATTTGAAGAAGCCATGAGAAGTGATCATTCATCAAAGTGGCTTGAGGCCATGGAAGATGAAATGAAATCTATGAATGTCAATAAAGTTTGGGACTTAGAAATAATTCCTAAAGGAGCTAAAACAGTAGGCTGTAAATGGGTCTACAAAACAAAACTTGACTCTCAAGGGAATATAGAGAGATATAAAGCGAGACTTGTGGCAAAAAGATTTTACGCGAAGAGAAGGGATTGATTACAATGAGACCTTTTCTCCAGTCTCATATAAGGATTCCTTCATAATCATAATGGCATTAGTGGCACATTACGATTTAGTATTACATCAGATGGATATAAAGATGACATTTCTCAACGGGGACTTGGAGGAAAATGTTTACATGACACAACCGAAAGGTTTTGTCATGGAAGGAAAAAACGAATGGGATGCCGCCTAAAAAAATCCATTTATGGATTAAAACAAGCTTCAAGACAGTGGTACTTGAAGTTTGATCAGACAATAAGGAATTTTGTGTTTAAAGAGAATGTTGAGGACAATTGTGTCTATGCAAAGTTTAAGAATATGAAGTTTATCTTCCTCGTCCTGTATGTGGATGATATCTTACTTGCTAGTAATGATGTCAGTCTACTACTGGAGACAAAGAAGTTTTGTCCTCAAGATTTGATATGAACGATCTTGGTGAAGCTTCGTTTGTTTTATGGATCGAGATTCACCGAGATAGAAGTAAAGGGGTATTAGGACTGTCACAAAAGGCATACATAGAAAAGATCTTAAAGATATTCAGTATGCACAAATGTAGTCTCTCACCTGCACATATAGTCAAGGGCGACAGATATGGGGATTTTCAATGCCCCGGGAACCAGTATGAGATCGATCAAATGAAAAACGGTTCCATATGCTTTAGCTGTCAGAAGCTTGCAATATGCTCAAGTATGTACGTGCCCTGACTTAGCATTTATTACCGGGTTACTTGGCAGATTCCAGAGCAATCCTAGAACAGAACACTGGAAATTAGTAAAGAAAGTCTTGCGTTATTTGCAAGGAACGAAAGGCCTTATGATGACGTCTAGAAGATCTGATTCACTCCATATAGTGGGATATTCAGATTCTGATTATGCGGGAGATGATAGAAAATCTACGTCTGGATATGTATTCACTCTCATAGGGGGAGCTATTTCATGGAAAAGCTCAAAGCAAACCGTCACTACATTGTCCACAATGTATGCTGAGTTTGTAGCGTGTTATGAGGCAACGGGGTAGGTGAACTGGCTAAAGAAGTTCATACCTGGTTTGAAGGTGGTTGACGACATCTATAGACCACTTAAGTTATACTGCGATAATAATCCAGCAATACAGTATGCTCACAACAATAAGTCAAGCGGTGCTGCCAAACACATTGACATAAAGTATTATATTGTGAAAGATAAAGTCCGGGATCATGTCATAAGTCTTGAGCATATAAGTACCGAAAAGATGCTCGCGGATCCGCTTACAAAAGGCTTACCACTCAACGTGTTCAGAGAACATGTAGCTAGCATGGGTTTAAGGGAAAGCCTATAATTCCTAGACAAAAAAATGCCCAAAGTTAAGTATCTATTTCAGAACAGAGTGGTGTGTTGTAGCTGTTGAATCTATCAGCAATTGACCGTGACGATGAAACATGCTCTATGCGCTAATCAGTAATGGAATGAACAAAAGTAAATGATATGAAATTGAAAGATGGTAGTGAGATCAAGGGAGAGAATGTTAGTTGATCTCCACCAATAGGCCCAATGGCCTATTGGGCCCTTAGATCTACGACCTGATCGGGGGCACCCAATTCTAATATGGTTAGTGGGCCCCTGTCGCACAGCACTATAAAGATAGGTGGGGTTCACGGCTCTAACTACGAGGTTGACCGGGGCCGCCGTAACCACCTACAGAAAACCTAACCCGATCTAAAGTGAGTGCTGCCAGCGACGGGAAGCCCCACCGACTCCGCCGTCGCCTCTGCATCGCCACTGGATCTCGCCACCTCTACGCTGGACTCCACCGCGCCAAGCTCACTCGACATCGGCGTCCATGCGGCTGCAGTGCAACTGCGCCAGGGCGAAGTAGAGGAACCCTAAGTAAGATGCTTACCCCGATCTACGTTTAAGAGGTACACTGTGATCTAACATGATCCCCTACCGTGGTCGACTAGCCACGCAAGCCCAAAATCACCAAGCTTTGCGTTGAACAATGCATCTAGCATAATGTTGCTGGGCCTGATGTCACGGTGCACAACACATTTCTGGCAATCCTGATGAAGATACAGAAGTGCTGAACCAACTCCAAACACCATCTCATGCCTATATAAATAACACATGAGACAAAGTCAAACAAAAAAAACAGTTAGTATTGAGAGAGCACTGTAAGTGGTATAAAGTGAACTGGGTCAGGAGTAGCTAGATAGTAGTGTGCTACCTGATCGGCCATGACATTACTTTTTTGGGGTTGTGAATATGAGTATCAAGACTTCCATTGGGCATAAGTTCATACACAAGCAAGAGCTCTTCACCAGCATGGCACCAACCGATGAGCTCCACGAGGTTGCGGTGCCTCAGCCGGCTTATGATCTTCACCTCGGACTCAAATTCCTTCCTACCCTGATTGGAGTTCTTAGATACCCTTTTTATAGCGACATGAAGATCCATATCCTTTAAGTAACCATGGTACACTGACCCAAAACCCCCTTCTCCAAGTTTCTCCTCTTGGGAGAAATTCTGGTGGCGACAGCCAGATCTCTGTAGTGGAACCGTCTGGGCCCTGCGCCTCTCTCAAACTAATCTTCTTGCGGCTCGCCATCGAACATAGCGCATAGTTCCTGTTCCGGTGCAGTATCCTTTCTCCTGCGTCGCCAAAAGAGCGCTGCCATGATGCCCAAGGCGACGGCAGCAGCCAATGAACCCAGAGTTGCACCGGCTATGAGCCTTCCGTCGAGGCCGTGAGGAGGCGACGTAGCTTTCGCATTAAAAAACAAGAACATGCAGACGCCAGATGTTCCAGAATTATTAGGTTTGTTTGCGTGAGACACTGAAATTATTTTTGCAGATATCATATATTAATAAGTTGCTAACCTTCTTGCTGTGGAGTCGTCACCGGTGGCGGTGGTGAGGGCTCCGGCGACTCTGCCGGTGAAGGTGGAAGCATGATGCCCAGGTCTCTCCCGATCTGGTACACCACGTAGCAGCTGTATCCTTTTACAGCGCCGTAGGTGTTGTTTGGACGGGAGTTGGACAGCTCCGCCACCAAATGCGTGAGCCACCTGGTGCACTCGCTTGAGTTGAGGTCCCTTGTGCACTGCGCGAACCCATACATCATCTGGGAGCTGCCATCGGAGTCTTTGAACACCTCACTCTGGTTGGGCAGCCGTAGTGGCGAACCGGATGCCTCTCCCACGAGCCGGTTCATTAGCGTCCACCTCGTGGCGTTCATGCCTACCATGTCGGAGACATAGGTATATATCCATCCGTAGTAGGCCACGTTAAGATCGGCGACAGAGAAGAACGGCTTGTCAGAGTACCTCAGGACGCAGGCATCGATGTAGTAGGCCTTCATCTCCCGGCTGAACTGGCATGTTTGCTGCACCCCGGCGGTCGCGGCTCGAACGCAGTTCTGGCACTGATCCCAGCTGCTGTCGGCATAGCACATGATGAGGCCAAAGACAGTGTCCGGTGACTTTCCTGCCATGCTCACATTAAACCCACGGTTGTCTATGGCGCCCGCCTGGAGATCAGCCATGAGCTGGACGAGGTTCACCTGGTATGAGCTCGCCATGGTGTAGTTGCCGGTCGTCGAGCAATAGGGCCAAGCAGCTGTGTAGTCCTGGCTAACAGCTACCAGCGCTGTTCTGGCGAAGAATGAGATCGCCGTGAGAAGGGCGACCAAGAAGAAGCGCCGTGGAGTCATGGTGGTCGTTGGTGCCAACGGTGATCAACTCTTAGTAGGTTGTGGGGCAGTGGGGGAGGCTTCATACATTCTTATCGATTCCTATGATGAGTAGCGTGCAATCTTAAAGTCAATGGTCCCGTTCGTCGTTCCTGCAGGCTTTGAGTAGTTCAACTCGCGGCAGTGTCTGTCTCCACTTGCACAGAGTGACACAGATGTGGGCTCGTCACGTATATAGCCAAATGGCGATAGCACACTGCTTACATATATAGTGCCATTGGCGAACGAATAATCAAGAGAGACTTTTACAATCGTTGACTCTGATGGTACATTGCTATGAAGAGCACTAGGTAGTGGTGTTGAATCGTCAGATTTTACTAATTCTTACGTATCCTACATTTGGGTGGTGCCCAAATTTATTGGCCAAAAAAATTTCCCCTCCCACTACCTACTTCAATTGGGCCAACAGATGGCTACCTATTTTGACCCAACCACACGCCCCCCCTCTCTCTCTCTCTCCTTTGTCGAGCACTGTCCGCCCCGCACGCGCAGCGGCCCACCCCCGGTGCGGCTGTCAAGCCCCGGCATGAGCTCCCAGCGCGGCGCGGTGCGGTCTTCTTCGCCAGTGCGGCCGCCTACCCCCGGCACGGGCACGGCAAGCCTCGCGTCGTTGCCTGCCCGGCACGGCGGCGTGCCCCCATTGCGGCGTGGTCTTCTTCGCCGGCGCGGGCACGAGGATCTCGGTGAGGCGGGCCTGGCATGGTGGCTGCCCGGCACGGCGGCCTTCCCTCGGCATGAGCTCCCGGCGTGGCGCGGTCTTCTTCGCTGGTGTGCCGCCTGCCCCCGACGGGCACTGTCACTACTACACAAATAATTTTACGAGGCAGTGCCCTTTTATTAACCGAGGTGGTCACAAAATCCAAACGCCTCGTAAAATACCGGACGATTAATGGAGGCAGTCTTTTTTATTTACGGAGGCGGTCAGGAAATGCCGGTGTCTGAAAATAGATTTATGGAGGCAGTGTCTAGCCCCTAATTTTAGGGTCCTTTGCGCATCATGTATCAGTCCCTAGATCAATAACTGATACGCACAATTCAAACAAGATTGATATCAAAAACCATAATTCTATTGCTAATGGGGAAGACACATTACATGGTTCGGGTTACATAGCTTGGGCCATTGACCTTCTATCGTATATCAGAGTTCTAAGGAAGTGGTCCTATATCAACGGTGGCTCCATTCCTACAGGCAGCTTGGAGTGCGGACGTAACCCAAGCCTTATTCCTTAAATGTACTCCTATTTCCTAATCGTCGTAGTCCTAGCGTAGCTCTCTCGTACGGCTCTATCTTCGAGTATACTCCGGGTATCCTATCCTTGCATTGCTCCAGAAGTTCCATCTAGGTATATCCTCTTGTAGCTTAACTCCTAAAAACGTAGAATGGAGGGGTTTGAGTACATAAAGTACTCAGCAAGCCCTAAACTTTGGGTGGAGGAGAGGTGGAAGAGGAAGGCTATATGTGGAGGGGAGTAAGGTGGCAGAGGTGGTTATAAAAGTAGTAGGGTGAAGTAATTATAATTATAGGTTGAGCCCTGGCAGAGTATTACTATTCTCGCCAGTTCCTGAAGTTAATTATAGTTACAGATTAGTAGAGTTCCTCTTGCCAGATTACCACAGTTATAGAAGTCTAATCATAGTATCTCATCCTAGCATCTGCCCATTCCAAGGACGTGGCTATTCGAATAGATTTAGAAAACTCTACAGAGGTGTACAAATTTCCCCACAAGATAGGCGTAGTCGACACCAGGGCCAGTGGCACAACAGGCCTAACCAGACCTCGTACCCAAAGGGACGCATCCTCAGATTTCCACATAACTCTACAGCGGCTTCTCAGGGGTTGGAAAACACACTAATCTCGAGAGGATACCAAATCGTCCCATCTCATAATCCTGGATGATACCACATCATCCCATCATACAATCTCGAACGATACCAAATCATCCCAACATAATAGTGCCGATGATACCAAATCATCAAAATAAATAATAATAATATGAGCTCGAACGCGGCCAAGTCAAGGGGCTTAATGTGGAGGATCACATAGCAACCACGCCAACCGGACCACAGAAGATCTGCATCCGTGTCTTTTCCTGATATTCTGCTGCCAACACTGGCCTCCTAGTAGAAATTATACTTCAATCTAACAGGGTGTGAGATCAAGTCTACCCGTATAGACATGTGGTTGTACGTAATATCTCACAAGGTGAGAGGGACTATGAATCGGTCCTTATGTGACCGAGGCGAGTATCTCCCAACAGGAACCCTCACTAGGCGTACCTGCCAAGGTAACTTGTACCACACAAATTACCCCTCACTCGCCCCCTGTCGGGGTTTAGTCCAGTTTTACCAGTTTTAGGTTCCATAATTATTATCCTCAAGTTCATAAAGCTCATATTATATCAAGGTAACTATTTACCATATCATGATTATTCACATTGTCATAGTCAAGCTCATAATTTATTATAATTCCATTAATTCTCAATGAGGATTTAAGCATTATTAGTTAAGTTTATTAATTGGTGGAGAAGGATGGTGGAGGGTTTATGGTGGAGGCTAGTAAAATGTAGTGGTGGAGGAAGGGTGGTGGTTAAGGGATGGTTTGTATGGTGGAAAGATAGGGGTAGGTGGGTGTTAGGACTTGCCTCCATTCGCTGACGATTATATCCTCGCCTGATTCCTGTGCCTTTTGCACCTGTCTTCGGGACTCCATCGGGTTCTCTCCATGTCTTCTATCCTATGTGGTCTAGCGTCGATAAACAAGGGAACACAAACAAGGAAAATAACAAGCAAGCATAATCAATCAAAGTAAAGGAAGCAATCCTAGATGGGTTGGTCCTATTGGGTTTGTCCTATTGGGGTGGTGGGTTGTTATCTAGGTTATCGCTATTACGTCAATCTGAAGTAAGTTTTGGATGAAGGGATTTCATCCATAGCGTAGGGTTTCTATGGGCTAGGTTAAAGCGGTGGATTGGTCTAATGGAAAACCAGACCACACTATTATTAGGTTGCACCATTATGTGAACCAGAAGGAGGAAGAATAAACAAGTCATTATAATGACTCGTCTGACTTCTATAGGTCCACCGGGTTAGTGACACATATGCACATGCATATGTATGTGCCTCAGATTAGTTAGACTAGAAACAGGCGACAAGTAAAGTTAGCCATACATAGGCGTATACCCGGGTATCGGGCATATCCTTGTATGTATATATATATATATATATGGGTGGTTACTATTTTAGGTGATTGGGTATGGACATATTTGGGTAGGTGGCATGGTACATGCACCTATGCGAATATGCAGGGTTAACTACTACTACGGTGATGGGCTATCACTACGATTGGTATTTAATTTAAATATAGAAAAGGAAAGCAATCAAACTAGAATTTAAATGGGCACCAAATAATAGAACAAAGGGTATGAATAGGTAGAGCTTGATTTTATAAGAATTTTGGTGGAAGAATGAAGTAATTTGGAGTTGGGATGGAGGAGATATGAATTTTCAAGGATTTAATATGAAAAAGATATGTGGAATATAAACTTGGGAATTATTTCTAGAAATTGGATTAATGGAAATGAGGTATAAATGCTTGGGTAGGATCTTGGGTGTACCTAGTTTATTTAGAAATTTTCTAGGAATTTTTCTATGCATGGAAATGGGCTTTGTAGCCTCTTGTGTACACTGCCTGGGTGTACACAGCAATTTCCCTCGGGTTCAGCGGCTGACGCACGGGGCTGGCACGGCGGGTCAGCTACTGCTACTATGCCGTGGACCAGATGTTCCTGTGCGGTGGACCGCTAGTTCCTCACCTCTGGGTCCTCGTGAACCGAGTGCATGGAAGAAAAGGAGGAGAAGGGAGAGGGCTGCTGTGGCTGACGCGTGGGCCATCCTCCTCCTCCTCACCTGGACGGATGGTGATGGGGTTTAATCCCGGGCCCATGTGTCTGAGAGAAAGAGGGGGGTTGGAGACAAAATGGCGGTGAGGCGACGGCATCAGCGGGGCAGCGGAAATAGAGCAAGGGCGCAGGGCTCGCCGGAGTTGATCACGTCAGCGGCATCCTTGCCCGGAGCTCGTCTCGAGATAGTGGATGATGCGCGCAAGGTCGAGCCGCGGCACTGGGAAGTTCTAGTGGTGGCGGTGGGGCTTGTGGTGACGGCGGTGGTTTGCCAGAGTGGTTGCGATGGTGCGAAGGTGGGTCATGGTGTTCTACGCGATGGTTGAGTGGGCGAGTGGGTGAGGCATGGCTGTGGCTCGAACCTGAGTGCGCAAGGAGTGCTATCCCATGTCGTCGTGCCTTACCGGCGGCGGGCATCGGCAATGTTGGCTCGACGGTGTGTGCTTCACGGGGCTAGGGCAACGTAGAGGGCTAGAGCGGTCTAGGAGTGGCAGAGGAGGTGTAGAAGGGGGTTGGGAAGCTTGCTAGCTAGACCTATTGGGCGAAGACACGCTTGAGGGGAATGAACTCGTAGCTTGCTCCCATGATGGCCATGATGGACCAAGTTGGGGGAAATCGAGCTACGGCTCGAGAGGAGGGAAAGATGGAATCTAAGGGGGAGATGGTGTGTTCCTAGTCTAGGCGGAGCTGGTGGGGAGATGGTTGATGCTGGGAGGCTCGAAGGGGGCCTATTTATAGGTGGCAGAGATCAGTTCACGGCGACGAGGTGTTGGCGAGATATTTTCTCCGGTGGGCTAGGTTACGCAGGCGCCAAGCTTCCTTGCTTTCGAATCCAAGCTACAAAGGTGGTGCGGCACAGGGTGTTCTTATCTGTTGCCAGGTTGGAGGTGAGCAGGAGCCAGAGTGCGGCCATGGCGGCGACATCAGCTAGTTGCTCGGGTGTTGCCACGTGGCGAAGTGGATAAGGCGGCGAGGGTCTCATGGGGTCCATGGCGCCCTCAGTCCTTATCCCTTTCGCCGGGGCGAGGTGGTGGCAGCGCGGCTGAGGCGACGGTAGTGTTT